GGACGGAGGCACACACTTTGCACTGCAAACGCGACGGAAGAAATGACGCGTGTCGCTTTCAATTGCATCCGGCCCTCTCAGACAGCAACAAGCATATACAGCTGAAACAAACGGCAAAGTGCATGTATATCCCTCCGACTATCAGCCCACACTCCACAGATACTGTGGCGACAGTGTCAGTCTCCCTCTCTATCTCTCTGGCTCTCCCCCCCCCCCTCTCTCTCTCTCTCTCTCTCTCTCTCTCTCTCTCTCTCTCTCTCTCTCTCTCTCTCTCTCTCTCTCTCTCTCTCTCTCTCTCTCTCTCTCTCTCTCTCTCTCTCTCTCTCTCTCTCTCTCTCTCTCTCTCTCTCTCTCTCTCTCTCTCTCTCTCTCTCTCTCTCTCTCTCTCTCTCTCTCTCTCTCTCTCTCTCTCTCTCTCTCTCGCGTCTATCTATCTATTTACGTATCTTTCTGTACATATCTCTCTTTGCATGTATGTACTTGTATGGCAGTCGTAGCAACAGTTGGAACAAAAAGCACTCATAGCGCAAAATGACACTTGTACATATCAGCCCCCAGGTGCAGCAAGTGGGTATTCTTGCTAGCACTGAGCTTCCCATATCATCAACGTTGTTGCGTGCTCTCCCCTTCACATCAGGTCTCAGTTGCAGATGGCCGAGTCAGCAGGAAAGCGAGCATCCATGGCTCCTGCCTCAAAGTCAGCAGGGCGTGATACGGCAACACTAAGGAAGTCACAGTTGCAATAACGCGTTCGATCGACCCGTGAATGAATATGTTTACATGCCCACAGACGACATACAGATACTTGTGTGCATACACATACACATACACGTACATATATACATACATATTTAGACATTCATACATATATACATACACGCATACGTATGTTTATGGATAATATACAGATACCTACGTCTATATTTATCTACATGTTACATATACGGCATACATAGATGTATACGTTTTCCTATACAGATACATGCGTGCACACACACACACACACCCACCCACACACATACACACACACACACACACACACACCCACACCCACACACACATGCACATGCACATGCACACGCACATGCACACGCGCACGCGCATGCCTGCCTGCCTGCCTGCGCCTCCCTGCCTGCCTGGATGGATGCATGGATGGATGGATGTATGGAAGCATGCAAGCATGCAAGCATACATGCGTGCAAGCATACATGCGTGCGGGCATGCTTGCATGATTGCATGCTTGCATGCTTGCATGGATGGATGGATGGATGGATGGATCATGCGTGCGTGCTCGTGTGGTTGATGTTTGGCTTCAGGGGTTCTGCTTTGAGATTTGCTTGTTTTGATTGCTGTTCCGTGGAGCAAGGATGTCCATCTACTGCCATCTGCGGAATCTCCAGCTCCACACCAGTCCTGGTGCTTCAAGTTTGTCTGTACGGACCAGTGATTCACACGCACCAGTGATTCACACGCCCCTGTGCCGAAATGCCGAGGCTTTGGCACAGCACCATCTTGCGGAGGACCGCCTCATGCCGCGACAAGGCTAAGCGGTGCAAGAGGTCTGCGAAAGCCGCCGCCCGCGAAGCAGTGTGTGTGATATGTAAGTCCCCATTGATGACCAAAGTTGAAGAATTCAACAATCGGAAGGAGTGACTCTGAATGAAATAGCAGGGGGACCGGCTATCCATGCAAGTGCCAGTCCAATGACCAACGAAGAGGCCTGCATTGGATACTGATATCCGGTCTGATCACTTTCTTCGGTCAGGTTTCTGGAACCCTTCTTCATAATGATCAGTTGGAGCTTGTGAGAAGAGAGAATTTCGAGACGAAGTCAAGATCAGTTGAAGAGATGAACATCGGCAACCGGTTCAGACCGGGATCTACTTCTCCTTTTTCGGGCGGAGTGTGTTCGGTGAAGGCTCCAGTTGCACAAAACGAATTCAAAAGGAGGAGCGGGCCCGCAGATAAAGGCTGCATCGTGTTTACAGGCAGTGCATTCATTGGCGCTTTGGTCCGAAAAGCCGCCTCCTCACTACATCACACCCAAAACCGACATCAACAAGCAACGACACGCCATGCTTGGGCGTAGCATCGCACAAGGCTCCGAAGTGAAGCTGCGGGCATCACAAACTCACCATGGAAGCTTACCCTCAACTGAGCAACGATTGGCAACTCGCAGTCCTTTCACGAATCATCGTTCAGAGTCGCACCGTCGTACATAACGGTCCCACCGGTGTGCTCGAGCATTGCCAGTCCAGCCTTAACCAACTCTGCAGTTAGCTCTCCCATGCACCACAGTCGCGATCGTCACCCAGGGACAGAAAAGCTCGAGTCCGCGATCCTTCACGCCCAAAGTCTCGGTGACAACTGATGTCCCACCAAAGTACGGTCTGGCAACGGTTTCCAGACCCCGCACTGTACTGCTGCTACAAGTCGACGAGTTTCATCGCTGATGTCACTTAGAGAAAGGGAAACCTTTCGCCCCCGATCAACCAAAACCAAATCCTGAGACAACATGTCAGTGCAGCATGAGTTCCCGGAAAGGCTAGCATGCCACAAATCTTGTGCCAAAGCAAGCACAGAGACCTCTGCCATCCGTTTGATGTCATCTTTCCGCCGAGTCTATGCCAGTGAGCTTTTGTAGCTGCGGTCTCAGCTCACACTAGGATATGTCACCCCGACCTGCAAGATCCAACACTACACGATCCACCTCGGTCTGGGTCGGAAGAAGAGGGTAGCGTGACAAGCACTCGAAACAACGAGTTGTCCTCTGGCTCATGGCGTACCCATCTTCCCAGTCTCGACTGGGAGGGCACTGGGGCACGACGATTTTCCCTGCAGCTCCAGCTGTTGGGTGATTCGGGCCCTGACCGTGACCTACATACATGCATTCATGTGTGCACAGACTGATGTACATATATATATATATATGTATATATGTATATGGTGTGTGTGTGTGTTGTGCGTGCATGCGCAATGGGGGATACCGTACAAATAGCTACAGGAACTCTAAGATACCCCTTTCTCAGTTTTCAAGCCCCAGTTTTTCTCTTCTCAAGCCGCGAGGATGACCAGAGACAAGAGCTCGAGGCGCTTCGAGTGAGGCTCGCAGCGGCAGAAGGCCGTGAGGCGGAGCTGAGGCGCCTACCAGGGCAGGGAGTACAGCAAGAAGATCAGGGCTCAAGGGTTCTGGGAGACTGAGGCACTACCACGAGGAGATTGAATGTTGCTGCGTTTCATCGTGGACTTTTTCTCTGCACAACGCCGGGTTAAAGATCAGAGTTACGGTGATGGTTGAGATGTGGCTGATGGTGTTGATGTGTCTTGTTCCTCTCAGAGGTTTGGATTCTCTTATCCTTGATTGACATTGTCACTTGTGGTTACTGTAGGGGCTACCGACACGGACATGGAGTTCTGTGATTACTGGCCATGGTTGTGGTGATAGTTCGCACACCTGTAAAACTGATGGCTGTGCGATGTGTCGTGGTGACTGTGACCCCTCCCTCCCTCCCTCCTTGCCCCTCGCTCCCTGGCTTCCTCCCTCTCCCTCCCTCTTCCTTCATGATTTCAACCAATCACTCGCGAATCGGCTCATGCACGTCTTCCTGCTTTCGTTTAGAGTTTAGAGACTAATGGGTCAACAGCCCAATCAGTAATTCACTAAACGTCATGTCCCGTTCTCACTTCTTCAGATGTTCCGAGAACCCTGCTTGGTTGTATTTAGCCGGTAAACTAAAGTTTACTTCTGTACCACGCGTCTTGTCCACTGCTGTGGATGGACGAAGGAGTTCAGCTGCCAGAGGTACTTGAAGAAACAGGCGGATTTGCTAGTCGTAGCATCCTGGAAGCCAGCATGCTCCAAGACCTACTCCCATCGGCAAGTGAACACTTAGCCAAGCTAAAGCGACGATTGATATAGCCACAAATCTCAGTCCAACCGAATCACAGGACTCAATTGGAGGGCACCGGCAGGGAAGCCGATGCCTCAGTCTCTGCGGTTCGACATGACCACAGTTGATTTCATGTTCCCATCAAGAATAGAGCTGCTACTGTAACAGTTCCAACACATCCACCAGATTTTCTCAGCACGCATGAAGCTCGGGCTGTTCAAGCTCAACCGGCGGTTGAAATGTTGGACAAGAGGTGGCGAGAATCATGCACGCTGCACCCCACTCTCTCTGTTCGGGGACTGAGGCGGAGCGCGCAACCCAATCGAAGACGGAAGCCCTCCAGCAGGCACGTGCTGCTTGCTGCTTTGTCATTTGTGTGACCCCGACATGTTGCTCGCTGCTTGAGCACTTCGCTTAGCTTTAGATTGCATCTTATCATCTTGTCGGAGTCAGGAGCTGGATGCTGCAATTTCACGCGAGGGAGAGATCAGGCCGTGGCTCTTTACAGTCAGTGACTTCGTTTCACCACAAAGCTCTGCTTGTCAGCTCTCCATCTGTACCGGCTTTTCTACTGCACCGTGGCACGGAAGGAAACCGCAAACAGCACAGGTCCAAATTCCAGGCTGCGGAGAAGCAGCTGCATGATTTGGCGAGGGCCCCAGTCCGCTTCCGCAGCGGTGGTACAGATGTGATGGGGAAGATCACGAGCCTGGAGCATGCACGGGTTTGTTGGTTGCAAGCTTGCATGCGCTGGATGCACAGAGTCTGGTTGCCGTGGAACTTAGTTTTAAACGCGAGCTGAGGCTCAGAGAGAGCGTGAGGCTGAAGAAGGTCATGAGAAGCAGCTCGCCAGAGTACAGGAGGAGAGTCGAAGTGTCAGCGTGTGGTGGCTTTGCCTGGGCAGAGGAAGTCAAGTGAGTCATCGCGCCGGCCCGCAGCCCATTGAGAGGCTCAAAGACAGAGATGCCCAGAGCAACAGGATGCGTTCTGGCACCAGTGTGAACTGGCTGCATCCGCAGCTCGCACATGCTAGCAAGTACTGCGTCAGCTCACTCTGCAGATCCCGAGATTGTCGCAGTGTTCCTCGATGGCTCGGCTTCGTGGTGAGTGATGTCAAGGCACGCGGCTGGCGGCTAAGTGCAGAATCTTGACACCTCATTGCACCTCGAGATGGCAATTCGATTAAACTACTGATATCTACTGAATCTGCTGATGCTTGCCTGGCCAGTCCCCCCGGGAGCGAAGCCGCTGCCCAAAGAGCCGCTGCTCAGCAGGACATGCTTCACCGGGTACAAGCCTTATTCCTCAACTTCGCGCGGTTCCGTCAACCAAGATTCCGTCAACCGCGCTTCCTTCAACCATGTTCCCCGCTTCCCTCAACTCAGATCGTGCCGATTCTTTCAACCCGCATCGCCCGCTTCCCTCAACTCCCGAGTCTGTCAACCCCCATTGCCCGCTTCCATCAACTGCTCATTCCGTCAACTCCGCCCCCCCCCCCCGCTTCCGTCAACACTACACTGCAATCTAAGCATTTCGCCCGCTCTTTTGCCAGTCTCGCATTGACAAATAGGGCAGACGTAAGTTAGTTTAAACATTTGTAGGTTTTATTTAGTTTAACACAGGAAAGCAAACTTTCGCAGTCTTTAGTTTAAACACAGAAAAACACATTTTCGGAGTCGCGCGTAGGCACCAGTTAGTTTAGACATGGAAAACAAACCGTTTATAGGGTTCATTTACTTGAAACACAAAAAACAAACCTTCGGAGTCCCGGGTAGGCGCAGGTTAGTTTAGACATGGAAAACAAACCTTTTGTGGCGTTTATTTAGTTTAAACACAGAAAAACACATTTTCGACGTCCCGGGTAGGCACCGGTTAAATTAAACATGGAAAACAAACCTTTTGTAGGGGTTATTTAGTTTGAACACAGAAAAACAAACTTTCGGAGTCCCGGGTAGGCGCAGGTTGGTTTAGGCATGGAAAACAAACCTTTTGTAGGGTTTATGCAGTTTAAACACAGAAAAACAAACTTTCGGAGTCCCGGGTAGGCGCAAGCTAGTTTAGACATTGAATTCAAACCTTGAATTGGGTTTATTTAGTTTAAACACAGAAAAACCAACTTTCGGAGTCCCGGGTAGGCGCAAGTTAGTTTAGACATGGAAAACAAACCCTTTATAGGTTGTATTTAGTTTAAACACAGAAAACAAACTTTCGTAGTCTTGTTTAAAGACAGAAAAAACAAACTTTCCGAGTCCCGGGTAGGCACAATTCGTATGGCTTCTTTTTCTGTGTTGGAAATTTGTGTCGTTTTTGCTTTATATCATTTTGGTTGTCTTAGCTTTTTACCTTTCTAAAGCGATTTCGTATGGCTTCTCCGTTGTACTTCATTTACCTTTTTCTTCGCTCTTGACCCCCCTGAAGCGAGTTCGTGTAGCCTCTTCGTTCGTGTTGGAAAAGACGTTTTTGTGTACTCTTCAGCTATACAGTATTTACTTTCTTTTCTTCGCTTTTAACCCCTTGAAGCGAGTTCGTGCAGCTCTCCTTCTTATTCTTGTAGGAAAGACAAGCTCCACTTTTCTTCTCTTTTTGCCTTCCTAAAGGGATTTCGTGTGGCTTCTTCCTTGACGCTGATGAAATGTTTGTGCTTAGTTTTCGGTTGTACCTCATTTACTTTCTTCTTCGCTCTTAACCCCCCTGCAGCGATTTCGGGTAGCCTCTTCGTTCTTCAACCCCCTGAAACGATTTCGTGCGGCTCGTCTTCTTCTTGTAGGAAAGACGAGCTTCACTTTTCCTCTACCTTTCTAAAGCAATTTCGTGTGGCTTCTTCCTTATGTTGATGAAATGTTTTGCTTTAATTTTCGGTTGTACCTCATTTGCTTTTTTCTTCGGTCTTCACGCCCCTGGAGCGATTTGGTGTGGCCTCTTCGATCGTGTTGGAAAAGACGTTCGCTTCGGACTTCCTGAAACGATTTCGTGAGGCTCTTCTTCTTTTGTAAAAAAGACAAGGGCCACTTCTTTGTTTAGCTTTGTACCTTTCTGAAGCGGTTTTGTGTGGCTTCTTCCTTCATATTGATGAAATGTTGTTTATTTACTTTGTTCTTCGCTTTTAGCCCACCTAAAGCGATTTTATGTGGCCTCTTCGTTTGTGTTGGCAAAGACGTTTTTGTGTAATGTTCTGCTATACAATGTCGAATCTTGTTCGTCGCTTCTGACCCCCGGAAGCGATTTCGTGTGGCTGAATTCTTCGTGTTGGAGATAACGTTTTCAATTAATTTTTGGTTATGCAGTATTTACTTTCTTTTCTTTGCTTGTAACTCCGTGAAACGATTTCGTGCGGCTAATCCTTGTAGGAAGGACAACCTCCACCTTCCGAGTGTGTTCATCTTCCCTCGGAGTTTGTTTGGAGTGTGTTTTTCCTTGGACCAACAAACCGTTCCCCCCAGAGTTTGTTTTCTGTAGGAAACACAAAACCCTCTCCCCAGAGTTTGTTTTTGTAGGAAAAACGAATCCTCCTCTACCCCCGCGCCGCCCAAACCACTCCCCCTAGCATCACTGAAACAAACAAACTTCTCCCATAGGAGTTTGTTTTTCACCGCTGAAACAAACTCACCTGGTCAGGGTTTGTTTGTACCCGCTGAAACAAACTCGTCGAGACGGAGTTTCAAGTTGGTTTGTTGTCCTCGCCTCCCCAACCTGGCTCTTCGTGACCCAACCAAAAGATGATCCGCAAACGTTTGTTTTCTTCCGGCGAAACAAACCCAACCCCTCCTCCCAGTGTTTGTTTCTTTTTGCGGAAAAAACAAACTCGCCTGGACCCCCCCCCCTTCAGAGTTTGTTCTTCCTAGTGAAAACGAACCCCTCCCCCCAGTGTTTGTTTTCTGTAGGAAACACAAAGCCCTCCCCCAAAGTTTGTTTTTTGTAGGAAAAACAAAGCCCTCCCCCCAGAGTTTGTTTTCTGTAGGAAAAAACAAACTCCCCTGCACCCCGCCTTCGGAGTTTGTTTTCCTAGTGAAAACAAAATCCTCCCCCCAGAGTTTGTTTTTGTAGGAAAAACAAACCCGGGGCACAAGAATCCGCGTGTTTGTGGTTGAGTAAGTCCTCGTGGCTGGGGTAGCACGCGTGTCTGTAGTTGGAGCGACTCTTTCTGTATAGGTTGAACGAAGCAGTTGTTTGGGTTGAAGGAATCATTCCCGGGGACGTGGTTGAGTGAATCTGCGTTGTTTGGGTTGAAGGAATCATTCCCGGGGACGTGGTTGAGTGAATCTGCGTTCTGAGGTTGAAGGAATCAGGTTTTGAGGTTGAAGGCATCCGCGTTGGCGGGTTGACAGAATCCGCGGGCAGTGGTTGACGGAATAATCGGCGAAAGGTTGAAGGAATCCGCGCGCGACCTGCTTCACCGGTTGCCTGTTGGTGAATCTCGTGACCAGCTTGTAAACCCTTTTGGCAAAGAGAGATCTATAGACCTGGCATGCATCTCCAGTCCTAAGCCTTTCAGATTGAAATTGAGGTCGACGAGGACACGCCTACAAGAGAAACTGTCGGAGGCGATGATGCGAATCCAGAAGGGGGCGACGCCCTGGACCCAGCAACAAAGGGTTCGTTCAGACCTGTCCACCCGGGTTTGCGAGCACCTGGGATTGGTAGATATGGGTTTCGGATGCAGACAATGCGGATGTTCTGCTGCAGTCTGCCAGATAAGTTCTGCTGACTCACAGACAGAATGTGGGTTTGACAAGGCCGCAGCCACGCCTGAAGTGGATGATGCACATCAACAAGGTGACGATGTCTTGGCCCCGATCCTTCAGCAAGAAGGGTTCGTACATCAGTCAGGCTTTTGAGTATGAATCATCTACATATGTAGTTACCTCAGCACTTCATGTCGCACGAAATGCGTCAGGTGCGATACTCAGAGGTTCGGGTGCGAAATTGCAGGCACAGCAAGAAAAACGACGTTCCTGAGAGAGCTGTGTGAGCAAAGGAAGGTTTGGGAAAAAGGATTTAAGCCAAGCTCACACTTTCTCTAGTGCACATGCAGACACACACACACACACACACACACACACCCCAACACAGACAGACACAGACAGAGGACACACACGCACGCACACAAGCTCTTGAAATCATCATGCTGCGGAATCAGTAGATAGCGTGGTAAGTATGTGCAAAAGACAGCTCTGTAGAGATGATAGACAAGGAGTTTCCTCTGAGACAGAGCTTGAGAGAGAGAGAGAGAGAGAGAGAGCTAAGGTGGGGAGGCAGGTAAGGTTGGGTTAAGCAAGTGACCCTTTTCGCTCGGGGAAAAGACCCGCAGCAATCAGGAAACGGAGCTCGTGAGAATGGAACGGATAGCATATCGTCATGTTGAGCTTTGAGTGGGCTCTTAGTCGAGTCTTTTGGAGCCCTGGCCGTACGTTTCGGGGGGCAGGACCACGAGCTTCGGGCCTGAGTAGGGGGAGTGGAGCTCACCCGCACTGTTGGAGAGACCTCGGATGACCCGACTAGAACTTGCAGGTTTTATACGGTCATGGTCTTAGCAGGGGTGTTTTGGGGGGAAGGGTCGAACAAGTTCAGTCGGGGGAACGAGTGATTCTCTCAACCCCGGAAGGGGCCGTACAGGCCTTGGAGCGCGCGGACCGTGGGGGGGGTAGGCCTTCGGGCCAGGGATCCCCCGGGAGCCCATACCCCTGTGCAAGCAAGAGAGAGAGAGAGATATGGATACTGCCCTCGACCTAATCCCCCAGCAGAGCCAAGAGTCAGATAGATTAGATGCAGTGAAGCATGCAATTACACGGTTTTGGTTTCCAACCCTCAGCTGTCTGAGCGTCTCTAACGAGTAGTAGGCCACAGTCGTACGCTGCAGTCTTGCTAATCAGAAGCCGGCTCAGGCTCCCGAAATACATGTCATGTTTGATATTGGAGGGACTTCTATAAGTAAAAAACAGGAAGCAATTTTCCTTCTGAGGGCTGTTACTCTGGTTGACACAGTCGAGGTCGACAAGACTATAGGCGCCGAAGAGGAGGATGGAGGCAATGATGCAGATCGCCAGAGCGGCGATGCCCGACCCCCGGTCTAGTCTATCGCGTATGCAGGATCCAAACACGAAACATCTGTCGCGGACCATTGCTGGCGGCTAACACGATCCGAGGTCGCACCCCAGTTGGCTGCAGATGATACCGCTAATCCTGCCGATGCGGAAGCAGAAAGTGATGAAGCCTGGACCCCACCGTTTAGGGCCGATGAGGGTTCCGCTAAACAACCCAGAGTGCAGAGATTGTGCTGAGAGCTTGTTGTCGAGCCCATTCCCTCAGCTGTCTGAGCGTCTCTAACGAGTAGTAGGCCACAGTCGTACGCTGCAGTCTTGCTAATCAGAAGCCGGCTCAGGCTCCCGAAATACATGTCATGTTTGATATTGGAGGGACTTCTATAAGTAAAAAACAGGAAGCAATTTTCCTTCTGAGGGCTGTTACTCTGGTTGACACAGTCGAGGTCGACAAGACTATAGGCGCCGAAGAGGAGGATGGAGGCAATGATGCAGATCGCCAGAGCGGCGATGCCCGACCCCCGGTCTAGTCTATCGCGTATGCAGGATCCAAACACGAAACATCTGTCGCGGACCATTGCTGGCGGCTAACACGATCCGAGGTCGCACCCCAGTTGGCTGCAGATGATACCGCTAATCCTGCCGATGCGGAAGCAGAAAGTGATGAAGCCTGGACCCCACCGTTTGGGGCCGATGAGGGTTCCGCTAAACAACCCAGAGTGCAGAGATTGTGCTGAGAGCTTGTTGTCGAGCCCATTCCCTCAGCTGTCTGAGCGTCTCTAACGAGTAGTAGGCCACAGTCGTACGCTGCAGTCTTGCTAATCAGAAGCCGGCTCAGGCTCCCGAAATACATGTCATGTTTGATATTGGAGGGACTTCTATAAGTAAAAAACAGGAAGCAATTTTCCTTCTGAGGGCTGTTACTCTGGTTGACACAGTCGAGGTCGACAAGACTATAGGCGCCGAAGAGGAGGATGGAGGCAATGATGCAGATCGCCAGAGCGGCGATGCCCGACCCCCGGTCTAGTCTATCGCGTATGCAGGATCCAAACACGAAACATCTGTCGCGGACCATTGCTGGCGGCTAACACGATCCGAGGTCGCACCCCAGTTGGCTGCAGATGATACCGCTAATCCTGCCGATGCGGAAGCAGAAAGTGATGAAGCCTGGACCCCACCGTTTAGGGCCGATGAGGGTTCCGCTAAACAACCCAGAGTGCAGAGATTGTGCTGAGAGCTTGTTGTCGAGCCCATTGCTTTTCATGCACATATTGGAGTTCTCCCTGCTGACCAAGACAAGCTAGTTGAACGGGCATTTCGCGAAGCATGCGTGGCCGTCTTCAGCGTGAACCGCTGCTGGTACTGTTGCTGCGGAGGTGGAAGACGTTCCTCAGCATGAAGTGAAAGGGGAGCAGGCTCCCCCTGCATGGTCATGCGAAAGTCGACCACGTCAGTCGGTGTTCAGAACCTGAAGACAGTCTTTGGAACCACCGAAAGTATCCGGAGGCTGCAGTTGCCGAAGCAGTTCCTGATGCAGACGCTCTTGAGCTTGGAAAGGTGCGGTTGTCATTCCGACGAAGTCAGACTTCGATTTTATGCTCCTACGCGGCTCAAGCTCTGCGACATTGAGCAGGCAGCCGCCAGCGACAGCAGAAGACCTAGCGCGGAGTTGAGTGCCGGAGGGTTCGGTAAGAGCGAGCAGCTGACAGTCATTGAGTCACAGATTGTCTAGCTGCATCGCGCGGATGCATTTCTCATTACGCGTTTTCACAGATCTTTGGCGAGGACATGCGCGCACTGAAACAATGGATTCACGCAAGTTGCTCAGATGGTCTGCACTCTCAGGCAAGACGCTGGCCCACACCAGCGGCGATGAAGAGCCAAAGAAAGGCTCGAGACAATCTTGACTGCTCGTGGAGCCTTCCGTGTGTTGCATTTCTGGACTTGCATGTGCGCAGCACTGTCGACTTAAGCCTTGCAATCCTACTTGCAAACCGGAGATAGGTATATCGTCGTGCAAAGTTCAGTCGAGACGATCGACGTATCCGCTGACACCCGCCGCTGGTCATACCGGAAAGCACTGACAACACGAGGACTCAAATCCCGCAGTGGCATTGAACCGTCTGACATAGTTGTGCAGCTTCGTGTTAAAATTACAACTTTGCCAAGTCCTTCCAACTTCTGAATCCGAGAACCACCTGCAGGCAAGCGAGGCCGGCCGCCAAAGCAAGCGCCTGACTCAAGCCAAAAGCCGAAGAAGCCGTCGAAAGGTGCCAGCATTCTCTGAACTTGTTTGTTGTTCCTGCTAAAAGGTTTCTCGGCCTGTCCCTACAAACCAAGTGCAAAGCACGAATCTGGATGTTCCTGAATGTAGAAGTATATCCGCTACACCGCCGTATCAGACCTGGGTGTTTCGTGCGATTCCGACGTGATAAGACTGGTAAGCTGCACGTTTGGTTGCTTGGGGTGGGGTGTCGGGGAGGGGGCGAGATTGATTGACTCTAGGCAAGCAGTCATAGAGGTAGTGGTCGGATTAGTTTACAGTTGCAATTGTTGGCAGTCGTTGTGCGTGGTGGTAGTAGTAGTAGTAGTAGTTGTAGTTGTAGTAGTAGTAGTAGTAGTAGTAGTAGTAGTAGTAGTTGTAGTTGTAGTTGTTGTTGTAGTTGCAGTTGTAGTTGTAGTTGTAGTAGTAGTAGCAGAAGTAGTAGTAGTAGTAGTAGTAGTAGTAGTAGTAGTAGTAGTAGTAGTAGTAGTAGTAGTAGTAGTAGTAGTAGTTGTAGTTGTAGTTGTAGTTGTAGTAGTAGCAGTAGTAGTAGTAGTGGCAGGAGTAGTAGTAGTAGTAGTAGTAGTAGTAGTAGTAGTAGTAGTAGTAGTAGTTGTAGTTGTAGTAGTAGTAGTAGTAGTAGTAGTTGTAGTTGTAGTTGTTGTTGTAGTTGCAGTTGTAGTTGTAGTTGTAGTTGTAGTTGTTGTTGTAGTTGCAGTTGTAGTTGTAGTTGTAGTTGTAGTAGTAGTAGTAGTAGTAGTAGCAGTAGTAGTAGTAGTAGTAGTAGTAGTAGTAGTAGTAGTAGAGTAGTAGTAGTAGTAGTAGTAGTAGTAGAAGTGGTACTCGTAGTACAATAGTAGTTTAATAGTAGTACTAGTAGTGGTGTTGTTGGTAGTAGTAGTGGTAGCAGCAGTAGCTGTAGTAGTAGCAGGAGTAAAAGGAGGAGGAGGAGGAGGACGAGGAGGAGTGTAACGATAGCGATCGTGGTCGCAGTAGCGGAATCCGGAAGTAGTCATCGTCGTGATGGTGGTGCTCGGAGGAGCAGTAGCAGCAGCGGGAATAGTATCTGGGGACAGAAGTTGGGGTTAAGTAGGAGTAGTAATCGGACATGGGAGGAGGAGTAGTCGTTGTCCCGGACTGAGATGGGGTTTGGGTAGAACTCGCTACCACTCCACAAACACGACGTGCGGGTTGTACTTCCTCATCAGCATGGGCTCTTGAGATTTCGGACTCCCATCGTGCCAGGTAAGAAAGAAGGGGCAAAGCCGGAGAAGAAAGCAGTCGAAGCAGAGCCCTGCTCAGTGAGAGAGTACTTACTTGGGTCTTGTAACAATTGTAGGACTTAGGATTCTAGGGCTTACGTATCTGGCGGAGTGGGAATCTCGTTTCTTGGCGATGACGGTTTGCTTTGGCCCAGGTGAGCGACAAGTCAGCTCAGAGTTCGAAAGGCGATGCAAAGCCAGCGGAGCTCAAGGAACCAGAGGCAGATTCAGGTGCTTTGGGACCGCAGCCAGGGTCGCTTTGGATCTTTGGGGCTTCAGCCTTTGATCGAAATCGCCTCGCCTCTGTAAACAAGTCGGGGGTATAGTCCTGAGCGCCGATGACAGGGCAGTGACAATATGTCGCAATCATAATAGCCGCATCATCGCTGGAACACTCGCTCGTCCAGCGCTACTGGGTCCGTGCGCCGTGCGATTGCAGGCAGAGGCCGCAAACGCGGACGTGCGCGCTCGGAAGCAGGCCTGCCCCACAAGACCACATAAACACGACAATCCTTACGTGGACCGTGACAGGGAGTCCAGAAAACCTTTGTCGAAAGACTCATGATGTTTTTTCGTCGACCGTGGCAGAGGGTGGCAGGTGCAGATGAGGAAGCTGGTGGCGGAGCCCGCGCACGTCTTTTGGCAGCAGATTGTTCTCTCAGGTGTTGCGGCAAAGAGGCGATAACATGCAAATTCGAGAGCTAGACTTGGAACGGTGGAAAGTGCAGTAACCGTGGTTCCCAGCCTCCTTTTGTCGATGCAGAGGCATGTCAAAAGCTTCTTCGCCAAGTTCTACCTGCGAAATCTCCAGGATTCTCTAAAAGCCTTCCTAGTGCTCCCTGTACACCCTGTCATGCTTCACTGTCTCAATGTGCAACTTTGGAGGTTATTCTGAAACGGTGAGGCTTTCGCGTAGGGTCTTGGATCAGTAGGCTTCTCCATGTATACTGTAAGACGCGAGAATTTCACCCAACTCCTCAGGTGGCAAGTATTCATGGCCTCCAGATCCTGATGAAGCACGCCTTACTCCGGAAGGCACCAACCACTCCGGGCGTCATGTTGGATTGATGCCGCATGATTCTGCCGCCCATGTTGTGAGGCGCTGTTTGTGATGCGCAATCACGTCTCAAGCTCAGCGCCTACTCGGCACCCTGGCCACACTGGATAGTTATCGCGGGTTTTGGCTTGGTCCCTCAGCGTACTCTTTGTTGCTTTTCCCGGGTCCATGAACTGGCCAACTCTAGCTCTAGCTACACTTAGTTCGTTTTTCGAGCTGACAACTTGCCAGTGCTATCATGTACAGTAGTGGCAACTGTAGTCCATAACTACGACAGGCCAACGGAATGCTCGATCAGAGCTGGCAAATGCAGGTTGCTGGTTGGCTGGATGCGCAAATATGCGTGTACGAATGCAAGTTGATAGGAAGCGGCTGTTTCGCAGAGTTGCATAGAGTCTGGGAGTGTTGCGACGGCGGTGGCATTGAGTTCAAAATTTGTTCGACGTCCCAACGCACACCCGCGACAGAAACAATCAACGCAACCAGCACAACGAGCGGACCATTTTGGGCCGAAAACTTAAGAATCTAAAGGCTGCGAGTCTTGTCTCGCAGCCTCCAGTGTACGAGCTCCAGGTGTTTGTTTTTTTCAGTTGGTGCTTCTCGGCCAGCTGGTTTTTTGATGGTTTCGCTCTTTTGCGAGGTCAAGCCCAGTTCCGGTGTCTTTTCATGATTTTAGAACCACTTTGTGACCCTGTTAGATCGTCCACTGCCTTCCACCGGTAAAAAGACACCAGAACATGCCAGGAAGCAAAAGCATTCTGCCAGCAGACAGAAGCAGTCACTGCCTGACATCCCGAGGATCTGAAAACACTCTTTCCAGACGAGGCTGCGCCTGCGAGGTGCGTTTGCGAGAGATGGTGATTTTCGCTTGAGATAGTTGGGGGAAGATTCGAGTTGCTTTCCGTCTTCAGCTGGGTCTTTCGGTGGATCTAGCTATAGTGGCCTTGGACAACCATCGGACCACTAGCCGACATGCGCCAGTGCATCTGGAATTCCAGGCATCCTGATCCAGAGAACCCTGGAATACGCGAAGAAGAGCTAGCAGGACACTTGGCCTTTCCACCTCAGGCTGTGTCAAGGCTAGAGAGAGCAGTCGAATGATGCTGAACTCCCGCAAGAGCCGGTTTCGAAGCTTCAGGAGCAGAGGCTGCCATCTCCCTTGAATTTCTGATCAACTGGAGTGATGACAAGGGTGCCGGATGGAGGACCCTGCGCCAGGCCATCCAAGGCCTGATGAAGTGTCGCGGATGGTTGGGGTCTGTGGGCGCGGGCTTGCCCTTACACGCATCTGCCCAAGCTGCCCCAAGCAGGTAAGAACAAAGCCGAAAGTAGATGGTTCGGGGCACGATCCTGGGGCAGCTGGCGCATCTTGGCGTGCACTGTTTGTGGCACAGTACGAGTGCAAGGGAGAAGAATCATGGCCCGGCGGCAACTACGATCTACTGGCATCTCAAAGTCAACGCAAGGAATGGCCTTCCTCATGGCACGCCTGCAGAGAGATGCCGAGACCTCGGGGCTGGGATCAGAAATATAGTGCTTATTTTTCTTCGACATGAATCGTGTAACTCTACTCTGGCCTTGCCACATTCTCGATTCCAAAGAGCACATGTGTGCAAGTCTGAGTCTGAAACAGAAGGGTGCACACTCCCGGAAGGGCCAAGCATTGCCTATAGCATCCTGTAACAAGCCATGGAACAGAGGCCCTGTTGAATACGAGGTCTGGCAGCGGGCAGCTGCAGCATCAGCAGCTCCTGACGCAGCAGCAGCCGCTGCAGAGGCCTGGACAGTTTTTTTTTTGGGGGGAGGGGGGGGGGGGTCAGGCAACCGCGTTCACGATTGCTTCAACATCTGCCTTCTGGTCTCTGTCAACAGCCCATTGAAATCTAGGCCGCTATGCAGAAGCAGTATACCACATACCATGTGTGCTTTCTGGAGGAGCCGGCAGCAGAAGAGGCAGCGCCGCCGGCTGATCCGTTACAGAAGGCTCCCACAGGGCTTGCTGGGACCGACGGCCACAGGACCTTTCGCGTGGAGGATACAGAACCTGCTATGTTTATGATTTATGACTGTTACTGTATGTGGTTCCTTTCGATCTGTGGGTGCTGACACTTGTAGACGTTGGCAGGAAGGTCTCTTCAGCACATGAGGCCAGCTCGAAATCAAATCGAACAGACCCCGCCGTAGGTACTGCATGGTCCAGAACCATGGAAGATCTTCTCTCCCAAAGTCATCGCACCATCATCGCAGAGAGTCCGAGGGAGGATTTTGCTTCAGCAGGAGATTGTGTCAGCGTGGGTTGTGAATCACAGCATGCAGCATAAAGTTCGTGGCACGTAGTGTGCAACCGCCCATGATTTTGGAAAGATGATGATGCTGGCATGCATGCCTTTCGAGCATTGATGCATTGCCCGTGGCAAACAGCGGGTGCCCAAGATGCATCTTGCTGCTAAGGACCTGCGTTTGTGCATGGCTCGGACATGGAACGACGGCAAGGCCAAGATGCCTTAGGCTTCTTGTTCTACACCGCTCTGCATGTTGGATGCTGCCCCATTTTCTGCCAGAAGAGTCGATGCGAAGTTGTAGAATGAAGGTCGCTTTTGCTTGACATGAAACACGGAGTCATGTCGATGGCTTCGCCAGGGTGGACAGTGCTCAGAGCCTCGGGAGGATGGCTGCGATCTCTGCTACAAATGTATGAGGCCGCAGGGACGCCGCTTTTCGCACTGCTTTTCTTTGGAGATTTCCGGTCCCAGGAGAGCTGCCAGCGTAGCGGGCCTGATCTATGGCATGGTGGATGGGCCGATTCCGCCGGGCAGGCAGGGCGTCAGGTCAGGGTTGGCTGACCCCCGACACGATCCGCAGTTCCTTGAAGACTGGGGCGCTTTCCTTGACGAGTCGGCAGGTTTTGCCTGGGGTCTCGCCCTGCCCCTGAGGTTGGAGCAGTTCGAGCGGGCTGCGGTGACAGGCTCTTTCTTTGGGTGAGGGTTTGGAGAACTTTCGAATGATCTGGAGACCGCGGCTTGTCGTGGGTGAAGGTGTTCTAAAGGGGACGTGGACGTACAATAGTGAGAATTCTTGTCCAATAGTCGTGTGACAGCCGCAGGCGCGACTGGAGCAAAAGCAGCTGCCAAAGATGGCGATGAGCCTTCCCGGCCCAGATCTTTGGATTTGGAATTCCCTGGCCTTGTAAGAGACATCCACTGTCCCCAAACAATCCGAACACTCTTCACATCTCTTTGCGTCGGGTCGGAGCCACGCCCTGGCACGTTAGAGGTGCTATGCAGACCTCAGCAACTCGAAGCTCTGGCTCGACGCCTTCTAGGAAAACTCGTTTTTGTGCAGTAGGACTTCGGCCCAGGCACTGCGAAATCCGAACACTTATTCACCAAATTGCCAGACAAAAAGCACAGAAGGAATCCAACATAATCATAGATAACAGGAGGTGTTAGGCCGAAGCGTGCAGAGTGGTGTGTCTCTTTGCCTCTCTGTCTGGGTTGCACTGATCACTGCTCACTGCCCCGGGCTGTAGTGCGTGAAACGGGATGAGGTCTTGGGCGAGATGAGCTGTTGAACCCAGCGTCTGAGCATTCAGCACACACCGACTCTCCGCAAAAGTCTGCAACACCGCTCGAGCGGTTCTCCGTCTGCCGGCTCAGGAAACGTCAAAACACGGCTGCGAGCAAAGACCGCCCCCGCGGCGGGGCCAAAGGAGCCAAAGCAGCCAGAGGCTAAAGCGGCCAAACGCAAGAGAAGGTCAGGAAGGCCGGGGCCTGGGACTCTGGGACCGTGGTGTGGCTCTGAAATGCACCGTGCTCACTTGGCCCAGGCCCGACAAGGCACAGCCGGAAGAGCCTCCGGCAGGCGTGCTGCAGGAGGAGCCTCCGAGGCTGGAACCACAAGAGTACCACAAGGGCAAGAGGCACATGATCGGATCGGTGCAGATGGCTTGAAACATTCGGGCACCTTTTGGGATCAGCAGCAGATTGTAGAAAGGTCTGACTCGAAGGGATCCATGTGTCATGTAAGCCTGAGCTTCCAGACATGCCGGAAGCCCAAAGGCAGAGGAACCGCGCAAAGAGGAAGCAGCCGGAAGAGCAGCTCTGGCCCAAGCTAGTTGCGGTGCTATAGAGACGATGTGGGCAGGCTCAAAGGTATGATTCAGACAGACGAGTGTAAGGGAATATGGAAACTCCGGGCAGCCACCCAGTCCATATTCATCGACTCACTGCAACTGATTGGTGCAACTGTGCACGGCGCGTGCCGCTGTGACAGAGAATTTTGTGTGTTCTCCTGGCTCGCCTTTACACGCACTGTTGCAGGGCCGTCAGCCTCGGCGGTTTTGGCATGCTGCAAGAATCAGCCCAGCATGTGCCCTCCATCCTGACTGAACGTAAGCAAGACCGTGCCAGACGGATGCTTAGACGTTCAACCCATGCGCCCAGTCCAAACCTTTGCCGGTTTTCAATTCTGGGTCGGCTCAGCAAAGCAGTATCTTTCAGTACCAGTATCAAATACAAGCCTTTGCGAGCACAGCCCTTTCGCTGGTAGTACTGGCCAAAGTCCTCATGGGCCTAGCTTGTAAGCAAGCGATTGTCACAGGTTTACTTGTGGAAAGAGTGAACGGAAACTCAAAGCGACGGCGATCCTGCATCACAACTTCCCTGTAATCTTCAAGGAGACTCGACAGAACGAACCTCCCCAGGCCCCCAGACACGGAGCCGCCACCGCCACCTGGATACCGGAGTCGACGATTGCAGTCCCAACAGCCCTCCAAAGAAGCACTTGGGCTGCGTCGTGGGGGAATGGGCCTATGATGTTTGCTCGGGCTTTGGGGGGCATCGGAATTCAATATTTACCATAGGCTATGCTGCACCGTTCGGAAGATGAAGCACTATAGTATTCCCATGGTAATTGAAACCTTCACAGCTGTGATGCAGGGTTGCTTGTGTTTGCCTAAGGTGCTAGCGACAGTACTACTTTGCAAAGCTGTGTTGCAGGTGATAACGTCTTGTCGAAGCATATAGTAGCCGTAGCCATAGCTCCAAGAGGTTCAGTGGACCAAGAAAGAAGTGTTGGAGCCAAAGAGCTGATCGATTCTGGAAATCATCCAATCATCCTCTGGCATGTGATGAGCATCTCTGTGCAAATCCGGACCGGAGCGAGAGCGATGATTCGATGATACACACATCGAATATTGGGTTTTTCAGGCAGCTCGTAAGAGTAAGAGGAAACGATGATACTGATTTTTTGCAAAGCAAATGGAGAGTAGCAGCAGCATTTGACGGGTGGCGGCTTTCCACGCATTGTGGATGCCGGTTGCTGCGTGCTCTGTGACTCTTCGTTGCAGCACAGTCGGGAAGGACAATTGCGAAACATTGACTGCAGACTATAGGGGAGCCGCCTGAATAGTAGGATCCTACTGAATAGTAGGATCCTATTTGTGGAGCACTCGCCGAGAACCGACAGAAAGGAGGTTTCGTCCCCAAGTGGAATAGTCTTAGTCTTGCTGGTCAGGAGGCGCGTGAGCATGTGCGCCAAAGATGGAGCAGCGTCGGCCACGCGATGGACGAGGCAAGGATCAAGGATTTTTAGAACGCACCCGCGTCTCGTTCTCTGAGAGTTTTTCGATGGCCAAGGCCCTGGAGCAGATCGAGGCCGAAGCCAAGCTGGGCCCCGTTGGCTCCTACCAGCACCTGGGACTCGAAATCGTAAGCGCTTCTAGCGCCGCGTAGTCGGGCAGACTTTCGGGGAGGGTGTTTCCCTTTCTCGCCGTGGTAATCAGCAACTTCACTTCAGTTCCGTTCAACAAATTGCTTCGGCACTGTGCCTCTACGCGGCTAATCAGCTACGGAAACCAGACCCGGTCATGTGAACTCTTGTGTTTCGCGCACAGTGTTTGCAAGGCACTCCGACGGGTTCATCCCACTCTCGAACATCGGGCATGCCATAGCTGGGATGTATCTTGGCCAAGGACGACTCAGCTTACTTGAATTTATTCTTTCCCGTGACATTGTGTGCTAACGACGGGTCGACAGACATGTGATATCCATGCCAGAAGCCCCACAGGTGATTTCTCGTGTTTTATTTCTGCACCAAAGTGTTTAACGCCGATGCCTTGGTGCAGGTCCAAAACATCAAAAACATCCCACCGCCTGAGGCTGCTTGGCGGCCTTGTTGTTCATGAATTTTGCTGACGACGCACGGTTCAAGCTCAAGCTTTGGAACGGGAGCCATGGGAGCCATGAAGAGGAACTCCGAAATTTCTAGCTCCTAGGCCCGAAGTCAAGGATCGCTTTGCTCAGCAGTCCCCTTCGTGGAGCAAACCCAGCGCATACGCCCTGAAGACTTGAATTCTCTGTGTTGAACTGACAAACAAACAATGGACTCACTGCTGAGGTTTGCCATGATACTGCGTGAGAGCGTATTACAACAAAAGGAGGCCGGCGTGGCGTTCGTGCAGGGCGGCGGATCCCCGGCTGAACCGGAGAATGGGCAGAGGTTGAAGATGAGGGCGTTCGTTTGCATCAAGCGGTATGCGTATCAACAGGATGAAGGCTACGGAGGCAGTCTAGACTGGCGTCAAGTGGTTCTTGTTCGAAGGTTCACTTCACAGGGTCCGGGTGCCAGTGACAAGTGGCAAGGCTGTCCCTGTCTTTCTGCTTGCGTGCTTGTGGTGTCTTTGCTTCTCTCTGAGGTGTCTCGGAGATCCGCTCCTGGCTGCAGTCTGCGCTCAACAGAGACACCCCACCAGAAGCACTGAGGCAGTCGAGTAAGGGAACGTGGGGTCAGCAGATGTTCTACATGCTGACAGCATTTGCAGCTTTTGCTAAGGTTACATTCTGCATGTGAGATATCGTTGCTTTGTTCCTGCAGAGTTCTGCCAAAGTTTCGTGCGAGACAGAAGCCGCCAGAGGAGAGCACACGCGATCAGGGTTTAGAGTTTAGGGGTTTAGGGTTTAGGGCAAACCCGCAACCTGACAAGTTGCCTTGATTTACAGGCAGCACGAGGCCGTTGCCCTCGAGTGTCTCGCCCTTCTTGAGGACTCGCCGGCCATTTTCACCATGTCAAGAATCACGAAGTATTGGGAAGGGTTATGAGACTTGAGGTTGTAGCCACCGCAAAAAAATTTCCAAGTGTCCGAGTGTAAGGTTCATAATGTGGATATTGAAGCACAATCTCAGATGAAGGGGGGAATCAACATCATCCGCTTCCAGGAAGCAGCAGGCCACACTTTGAATGCATTGAGTGCCCGGGCTTTGAACTGCAAGGTCGACAGCGAACGCACGCGGCAGGAATAACATGTCGCAGCAGCAATTGAACCAGTTACTCATTCAAGAAAGCAACCTGGACTGGATAATAGGAGAGGTTAGAGGCCTTGTCCCGCGAGGTGACAAGCGGCAGAACCTAGGCCCTCGGCAGTCCAACCCATCTGCCTTCTGGATCGCTCCCGGGAACTCCTTCATCCAAAGTCGTGTATGTAGACCTCGACAAGACTGCTGCACAGGAAGCAGCTTGATCCTTCAGGAAAGCTTTTCGGCGTTCAGGGTGCTGCATCACCGCGAACAGCATCGCATGGCACTTTGCACGAGACCCTGCCACGAGGAGCTGCCAATGACCCTGGACTGCCTGAAGGCAACTGGCATTGGACGCCGCTTGGACCATTGTCAAGGCAACATGTTAATTAGTCGATGTTTCTAGTGGTCGGGGCAGGTGCCAGACCGGCAATGATGCCGACTTAGCTTCCGAGTGAAGATCAAGCAAGGACCAAGTACATCCAAGTACTCTGGAGAGTGCAGCTCCTGTTGTCGTTTGGCAGAGTCCACCGCGAACCTGTTTGAGAAAACAGGACCACTGTCACAAGAGTGTCGTGAGGTTTCTTGCTATTAGAACCTTTGTGCGATGTCAGGCACGCTCACTGGGCTGCGGAGCTATTGCGAGCCGGCGATGGTGGATGCAGGGGCGTTGGCTGCTGGGATTGTTCGAGGCTCCAAAGAGCGCCCGTATGGGGCAGGCATGTGAATAGGTGGCACGACAGACAAAGAATAAGTCTAAGTGTAATACGATTGATTGCCCCATTAATATCGATCTAACACATCGAATGTGTTCGAATCGATGCCAAGGTTGCGAAGTGGACGCAGCAGTTTCAGAAAGAGCTGGAGATAGCAAGCCGCAAGGTGCCTATTGGGTTTTTATGATGATGCGAAGACGTCGCTGTGTGCTTCTCGGACATCCTGACCCCGCGAACGCCCCTAGAGCCAGTGTTCCTCCGCTCTTGACCAGGAGGCGGCCGTAAAGACGGAGGCAGCGCAGGCGCCGCAGACAGCTGTGAAGGTCGAACGTGCGAGGAAGGCAAGGACAGGGGCCGGGTTTGAACTGGCGCTTGTAAGAAGTACACTTTGGCAGCGAGGGTTTGTGGCGCAGGGTTGCGGCGGGTTACGCGACTAAGCGTGCTGAATCGGCACAACTCCCCATGTCCCAGGTCGAATTGGATCGACCCAAAGACTCATTAAGCTAAGCCGCTTTGGCTTTGACTCTGCGAGGTGCAGTCGAAGCAGGAGCCCATCCAAGGCCAAAGAGTCTTCAAAGGACGGGGGTTCGGCGGACTGAAATGCATAGATCGATCTTGCATGGGGAGCGTGTCCCTTGGATAAAGATAAGTCAATTGCTTCTGGTCTCCGATCACAGAAACCATCCTTTTTGTAATCTGTCTCGCCGGCAAAGCGTGTACCGCATTCTATTCAGCAGGGATATGCGTTGCAAGACGGGCTTTGCCATCGAGCTGTCCATGCAGATAGACAATTTAGACACGAACCCGATTTGAGATCTGGGCGCAGCACGGTCGTCATCTTCAGCGGCGGCTGCAGCAGTGCCCTGGATGAATGGGTTAGTCGGTTAGTCGCGTGCGAAAGCATTGGAGCGTGATCAGAAGATATTGGTGCTTTTGGGTTGCGAGTTCAACATCTGTGGCTGCAGCTCGTGCATACAAAATCCCGTCGATTCTCTGCATGCATTCTGCGAGTTCGACCAGGAACGGCCCTCGCTGGTGCCCGGTCAGGGATCAAACAGGCAGGAGTATAGTTACCATCACAGGAAAGTCAATCTAGGATCACTGCACGACCCGATTGCTAAACAAGAGCGGAACGGGGTCGCGGAGGATCTCGTCATACTTGTAGGCCACCGATCAACGGTTTGTGCAAGGTGTGTTTGCAGAGGTGCAGCTCCCACTGACACTGTCCGGTGTCCCCTATGTTTCGATTGTGATTCTCATGCATCCTTGCAGCATGTTGATTGCATCTGCAGCCGATACCCGTACTGCGTATTATTGCACGTGTTGCTTTTGCCAGGTCCGGACCTTCCATCAAGTCCTCTGCACGGGCGAAAATGATGCAGATGCGGAGTCGGCAGAAGAAACCCAGCAACAAAACGGAGGACACAGTTTTTGGTCAGTCGGGTACGTAAGGGTCCACTGTTTTTTGTTTTTTTTTCCTAGGTCTGGCCTGGTCTGGGGGGCCTTGCTAGGTCTGGTCCCATGGTCCCTGGTCCTTTGGTCGTCCCCTGGTCCCTGGTCCCTGGTCCCCTGGTCCCCTGGTCTCTCCTGGTCCTGTACCCCTGAACCCTCAAACCTGCAAACAACTAACAACAAACAACTAAATAACTAACACAACTAACAACAAACAACTAGCAAGAAACAAGAAAGAACAAACAACAAATCAAGAAAGGGATAGGGGTTAAAAAATTAAGTAAGGATCAAAAAAATTAAATAAGGATCAAAAAAATTAAATAAGGATCAAAAAAATTAAACTGGTATCAGCGAAAGGAAGGGGAAAAAGGAAGGAAAGAAAGACAGAGAGAGAGAGAAGGAAAGAAAGAACGAAAGAAAGAAAGAAAGGAAGGAAGAAAGAAAGCAAGGAAGAAAGAAAGAAAGAACGAAAGAAAGAACGACATAAAAAAAATAAAAAACAACGAAAGAAAGAAAGAAATAAAGAACAAACGAAGGAAAGAAATAAATAAAGAAAGAAAGCCATGCAAGAAATAGAGAAATAAGTAAATAAAGAAAGCTACAAGTAAAGAAAGAGAACAAAAATAGAGGACTAAGTAAATAAAGCAAGCTATAAGGAAAGAAAAAAGAAAACACAAGGAACGAACCAAAGAGAGTTAGAAACAAAAACAAAACAAACAATGAAGAAATAACCAAAGAACAAAAACAGAGAAATAACGAAAGACGGAAGGCCATAAATTAAGAAAGAACAACAGAAATAGTTAAAGGAACAAGAAAGACGCGGAAAATAAAGAAGAACGATACGTAAGACTATCGCTTCATTGTGCTTTAAAAATTCAAGAATTGCTGTATCTAAAAAGCAAGAAAGAAAGACAGAAATAAAGAAAGAACGAGAGAGAGAACGAAAGAACGAAAGCAAAAACAAGAGGAAGAACGAAAGCAAGAACTAAAGAAATAAACTTAAGGAAATACCACGGAATCCGTAGGAAAATCGTGTTTTCCCGAGCAAAAACCAAGCAAATCCTCAGGAAATGAAAACGAATCCGTATGAAAACAGTGTTTCCCCCTGGGAAAAATTCAAAAATTGCTGCATCTAAAGAGGACGAAAGAAAGGAACACAGAAAGAAAGAAAGATAGAACGAGAGAGCGAACGAAAGAACGAAAGCAAAAACGAAAGAAAGAACGAAAGCAAGAACGAAATAAATCAAACCAGAACGAAAGCAAGAAAGAAAGGAAGGGAGTATGAGATGAACAAAGAAAGAACAACAGAAAGAAAGAAAAAGAAATGAACGAGCGAAAGAAAGAAAGTCCAGAATAAAAAAGCAAAGTTGGAAAAGACGAAAGAGAAAGAATATGAAATAATCACAGAAACAAAGATACAAGCAACAGGATACTACATAGCCCAATCGAATTTACCATAATATCGTAATGTACCGTAACATAATATAACATAATGTAACCTAATGTTATAAAATATACTACATATTATGTTGTAAATATACACACTGTATTGTACTATGTTACAATGTACTACACTATAAACTAAGATGTTGTTTTGTTCTATGTCATCTTCCGTTATATTGTATTGTTGTATTTTTAGTATGCTATTATATGCTATAAGAAGCAAGGTTCTGTTATGTCAGAAAATGTCACACCATTTTTGTGTTGTCGAACCATCTTATGTCGTTCTTCTGGTTTACTATGTTATATATATATATATATATATATAGGTTAGAATGCTAACGGAAGAAGAGACACGAACAGGCACGGAAGAACAAAACACCCGCCGCCGCGCTTTTCGAGACGTGCAAGCTTGATTCAAAGAGTGTTTTCGAAGCCCATCATGTGAACGTTGTCTCTGCAAATGGGGGGGGCTGCGCCCCCCCCAACCCCCCGCTGTTTTAAGCCGTGCAGGGTTGCTTTGAAGCATATGCCTTTTTTTGAAACCCAGCAAATGAGGGCGTCTCCGCCCTTGTAGATACATGCTGAACCAGAATCGCCGAATGAGGGGCGTGTTTAAGATAGATAGATGATGAAGCGGAATACCAGCAACAGCTACAACAGGAAATCCGTCGGTCCTAAATGTGAAATTGTAAGGAAAATTTGATTTTCCCGAGGAACAACCATATGTTGTCCTTCTGAAAACCTGAAGAAATGACACGAACGCCATAGGTAAGAGGAAAATAGGCTTTTCCTACGAAAAATCAAGGAAAACTTAGGGAAATACCACGGAATCCGCAGGAATATCGTGTTTTCCAGAGGAAAAACCAAACAGATCCTAAGGAAACAAAAGAAAATCCCTAGGAAAACAGTGTTTTCCCTTGGAAAAATTCAGGAATTGCTGTATTTTAAGTGATTTAATTTTTTTGATCCTTATTTTATTTTTTTGTTGATGCCTCTGCCCCAGGAATTGCTGTATTTTGAGCGATTTCATTTTTTTGATCCTTAATTTATTTTTTTGATCTTTCCATTTAATTTTTTTTGATCCTTATTTATTTTTGTTTGATCCCTCACCCCTTTCAAGAAACAACAAACAAGAAACAAGGAACAATAAGCAGGAAACAACTAACAATTAACAAGAAACAACTCACAACTCACAAATAACAACCAACGACTGACAACTAACAGCTAACACCAACAACTAACAACTAGCAACGAACAACTAACACCTAACAACTAGCAACTAGCAACTAACTACTAACAACTAAACAACTAACACAACTAGCAACTAACACAACTAGCAACAAGCAACACGCAACAAACAACAACAACACCACCACCAACATTTCATTCACACGCAGCGGGAGGATACTGTCTGAGGTGAAACTTAACGTCCACGCTTTGCGAGGGATCGACCTGCTGCTCTGCTTGCTACTTGCGCGGTCACTTCATGACGAGCCGTGCCTTAACACAGCACTCGCACACGCTCCGCCCCTCAAGGCTGCAAGCAATGAAGTCGGAATCGGACGTGTCTTCAGTGACTCGAGCTGCAGACTCTGGCACTAATGAAGTAGTTAACCGGCTGATTTGCAATGTATCGCTGACTGATTGGCGACGTCCATTTTGCACACTGCTGTCTCGCGAGAGTGTCTAGCCTCGCTGTGAAGGCTCGGTACGAACCACTAGCTCTATGTTATAGTAGAGGCGGTGAGGCAATGAAACACTCAGTAAAGGCAGGCCAGGCGCCATTTCCAGCCCGTTGTTGCTATTTGTAGATGGCGGAGCAACTCCTGCCGGACTTGTGCTGGTGACATGAAGCTCTCCTGTCCCTGGATGGGAGATCGTTGAGGTCACAGCCTTTGGCGGTGGTCCCAGGGGAGAAACTCCTCCCGGGACTCCACCTTTCACTGGCACTCCAGGTGCCTTACCTGGGCCCGGTGTCCGATCTGTGCTAGATCCACTTCCTGACAGGTTAACAGGCATCGGAGGCGGCGGGCCCTTAGGCCCAGCTGCTTTAGGGGCTGCTTTAGGGGCTGCTGTGTCTTCGGAGTCGGACTCCCGAATGGCGTCACTGGCTGGCGGCGACCTGGATAGGTGGGGCCGACGTCGCACTGGAGGAGGGGTTCGGGAGGTCGCTCTGCTGCCACTCTTCTTCGGTGTTTCAGGCATGGCTTCTACAGTCGAGACAGCTGGTGAGTTGAGCCTGTACGAGAAGGCAAGTAGAGCTTCCAGAAAACTTTTGGCTGACAACTCACTTGCAGATCCGGGCCCACGACTGCGCACGGAGCTTCACATGCGACCTCGGGGTATACTTGCTGTCTGGTGATGAAATTGAAGTGACCTTCAGCCTCATAACATAGATTTTTGCGTGAGCAGCTGCATTATCAGTGTGGGGAGGGACTCCACCATTAGGTGAGGGTCCTCACGATCAGAGCGGCCTGTTGTCGCCTCCGTACTTAGTACCTGATTTCAGGCTCTGGTAGTACTCTATGACAGAAGGGGGCACTTCGGAAGGGGTGAGAATGACGCCGTTCTTGCTACGGAAAAATTGCACCCCTACCTGCATGGCTCTGCGTGGATCGACCGCTACCAGCATCGACGAGCTATCTCTGAATCCAGAAACACCAGGTCTCCCATAGTCCCGATCCGAGACGAAGTGAACATGCTGTCGTCCCTCTCTGCCACGTCCGCCTTTGCCGCGGCCCTTGGAAATCTTGTTCTGAGGCAGAAGGCCTCGTTGGCGTATGGAGTCATACAAGGACCAGAATGTGCCATGATACAGCATTCTGGGGAGCATCTCCTCCGTGAGTTCCTCCAACACCTCATTGGAGTCCACATCAGAGCGAGAATGTCCTTGCAGAGCCCTGATGTACTTCTGGCCTTGGCAATCGCCCAGCTCGTACCTGCCTTTTGCGTTACTCCGAACGACCTCCATGAGGTCGCCTGCCGTGGCGTGCTGGGCCTGCACTCTTGGCCATCTCAGGACGTCCTCTAATTTGGCCCAACCAGCTGAAGTGACGCTGATGTAGGGTTTATGTCCGTGCCGAAGCGAAGCTGCTAGAGCCTTCGAGACTTCGAACGAGAAGCTGGTCTCCGGCTTCGTAGAGGCAGTGCAATAGTCCCCTAGATCGCCTGGTTGGCCCTCCCAGGCCACTATAGTGGAGCTACGTGGCGTTGTTGAGCTGTGGTCAATCTCTGACGCCATGGTCGGGGGAGAAACTCCACCCTGTGAGCTGAACGCCTGCTCACAAACCGGAAGGGGAGCAACTCCTCCTTCCTTGACTCCACTTGACGAGGCTTCGCCAGGCAGTTCGTATCCCAACGCCAAAAAGGATTCCCGTGCTTGTCTCAGTGGTATCTCCAACAAGCCACTCCACTCTCGGAGGTACTCACCTAAGGTGAGTGTCTCCTTGGTTGATATTTGCAGTAGCAGCGCTCGGATTTTGACTGCATCATAGGAGTATATCAGTTGGTTTGTTTTCTTACCACG